TCGCTACTCACCAAAGTAGGAGGTGGAACAATGTTTTGTGTAGTATGTTATGCCAATTGAGCTTGATATCCCCTGTGACTATAGTCCAAAGCCCACAGGTTCAACTACTCAGTCTCTCTGGGTAGCTGGCTGTGACCAATAAGTGACTACAATCTTGTCCCTTGTCAGCTCTACTATACACCTGGGAATTCAGATCATACATATACACTTATAGGACCATTGTCTGCCAACCCTATACATGGTCTTGGATACACTCCCCACTTCATAGACATACCTAATAGTTCAGCCTGTCCACCCATCTATCCACCCGTATTCCCATGTTTGCCTTCACTGACAATACAGTACTGTATGTGCAAAAGGGTTCATCTTTGTTGTCTGTACCTCCCATGCACCTCTCTATGTCTTCCTCTTCCTCAATGCCACCATGTGGATCACTCGTATTTGGTATATTTACCTTCTCTTCACCCAAATCAATATTTACCTCTATCTATCTAACAGTGTTCCCTCCCCTACTCTCCCACCCCTAGTAACCGACAAAGAAAATTTCCTTCTATAGGTAAACATTTTTTTATTTTATAATAACAGACTAATACAATATTTGTCCTTCTGTGATTGACTTATTTCACTCAATATAATGTCCTCCAAGTTCATCCTAGTTATGTGGTGTTTTGCAGATTCTAGTTTATTCTTTAGGGTTGCATAGTATTCCATTGTGTGTATGTACCAAAGTTTGGTTATCCATTCCTCAGTTGATGGTCACCTACGGTTTCCACTTTTTGGCTATTGTAAACAGTGCTGCAATGAGCATGGGTGTGCATATGTCTGTTCTTGTCATGGCTCTCACTTCTTTAGGATATATACCTAGTAATAGAATAGCTGGGTGAAATGGTATTTCTAATTCCAACTTTTGAAGGAATCACCATACTGCTTTCCACAGTGGTTGTACCATTTTACAGTCCCACCAGGAGTGTATGAGAGTTCCAATCTCTCCACATCCTCACCAGCATTTGTTATTTTGTGTCTTGTTGAACTTTTTAAGACCTTTTTAATGATAATAATGATAAAAACTAAATTTATACATCGGGTTCTGTGTTAAGTATTTTTCACAGATTTAATCTTCACAACAACAAAAGCAGTGCTAATATAACTGCCACTGTACAGGTGAGACAATGGAGCTTAGAAAAGATGACTAATGTATTCATGATTACATAGCTGGTAAGGTACCAGGCTTCTGACTCAGGACTGTCTCCAAAGCCCATGCTCTTAATCAGTTGGCTTTTCGGATTTTTTAGTTATTCACACATTTACCATTGCCAGAAATACACATTTTATGTCAAGTTATCTCTTGCAAAGATTTCTCCTTTCTCTTTAGCATATTTCACTTTTTAATAAATAGCACGTCCCTGTATTTGTAACCATTTTATTTTACTTTCTAATTCTTTTTCCAGGAGATTAATAGGAAGACACTCTTACTCCTGTTTTGATCCAGTGGCCCTGGAAATGCCCTCCCTGACTCTGTGCATATTGGTTTTTATAAGTCTTCTTAATTATTTTGCCTGGTGCTTTCAGTGAAATAGTTGGTGTTGGTATCTGGGACCTGAGACAATTCAGGGAAGTAGCCTGATGCAGGGCAGGGCTTCCTGACCATTTCCACAACTTGTTAAGCAGAGAAAACCATATGTGTACTGGTGTAAACAAATGAGACTACTCACAGCGTGGGACAAGTGGCCCTACCCAGCCAGCATTCGGCTGAGGGAGATTCACTGGCTCACTCCAACTGTAATGCTCTCAAAGCACATTGGGTGTCCCCTGAACCCTATTTGGGAAGCTTTAGTGTTGTGGAAAGTGTAAAAACTTTAAAATCAGTCAAACCTGGTTTTATATTCCACTCCAACACTTACTAACCATGTAGCCTTAGACAAGTCCTTTTAACTTCTCTGACACTACGTTTCCCCAGGTGTAAATGGGGAGGATAGTTTTATCTTCTGGAATTGTAAGAATTAGGGAGAATACAAGTCAAGTGTTTCCTCCACAGTAAGAGTTTATGTGTGTACGTAACAGCTACTACTTTTGATTTCTTCGTATATTTGCTATATAAATCTCTACGCTTTTGTTTCTAATGATGCGTTTTTAAGGTACAGATGTCAGCTCATTGTCTCATCAGTGTTAAAAGACTAATTCAATTAAAATTAAGATAAGTGCAGAAGATGGATATATTTTTAGGGGGTAGGGTGGAGATGGCAATAAAAGCATTTGTGGTTGTTGAAAGTTTCTGAAGACCACAGAATGAGAAGGTCTTACAATGTCATTTCTTGAATAAGAAGTCTCAGGAGAGGGCCCTAAAGTACCCAGAAGGAACCCCAGAGCATCTCATGTGACAGAAAGTAAGAAAGGAAACTGGTATTCATGGGGCATTCACAATGCATGAGGTACTTTCATAGGACACATATTCTTTTTAATTTTCCAAACAACCTTGAGCACAGAGGTTCTAACTAGCGGTGATTTTGCCTCCCATGGAGTATTTGCTAATATCTGGAGATATTTTTGTTGGGTGGGAAGATGCTACTGACATCTAGTGGGTAAAGCCCAGGGATGCTGCTAAACTTTCACAACTCACAGGACAGCTCCCACAACAGGAATTATCAGTTACAAAACATCAATAGTGCAAAGATTACCTGGCTTTCCAACCCAGATCTGTACACCTCCAAAGCCTAAGCTCTTCCATGATGCCATATAGATGGCAATGAGTGTGGCAAAAAGGACCAAGGTAAAGAACTGGTGTAGTGGGGAGGAGGGAGGCACAAATTGGTGCTCAAAGGTATCGAATGAAAGAAGAAGTAGAATAGTGAGGATGAATGTGATCATCCTACTGCTACCCTGACATACCTCTGTGTTCTTGTTCCATAATCCAAAAGTGAGCCAGGGATTACTATGATAGAAAAAATCAGAGGAGGGTGTCTGAGAAATTGCCTGCACACTCTCCTCCATTATCTCTTCCAGACAGGATAGCACCTGAGATGGGAGGTCCTGAGCTGAGAATGGGGGCTCATTCTCTTCTTTCTCAGAGCACCAGCCCAGGGTGTGTCCCTAGAGGAAGAGGAGTGATTTGTTTCCAGTTTCTGAAATTTCTGTGGATTTGGAGTCGGGTTGAACCAGATTTATTCCGTGAAGGCCTAAATCTTCGGGGATGGAACAGTTGAGAGGAAAGAGGGTGGGAGGGGAGGAGCCTATGATAAAACAGAACGTTTCTTCTTAGTTCCTCTTTTGAACTCCAGAATTTGTGCGTCCCCTGAGGGTGGAATCTGTCAAGCTTCAAGAGAAGCCCGTGCCTGCTGTACTGACTCCAGGCTGTTAGAGCCTGTCTGCTCTAGGGAGTGATGGAAATCCCCTCATTCCTACCCTTCTCTGCTGGCAAGAGTGACCAGGCTGACTGCACATCTTCCCACACTTTGGGTCACATACTATTGTGGACAGCTCTGGTATTCCTGGGTAAGTCAGCTCCCTGGCTCCTGGAGAGGGAGGTGAAACAGGAACACAGGCAGGTTCACTTTCCTATCTCAGGGTACTGCTGCCTTAATTGGTGCTGAGCTTGGGCATGAATGAGGAGTGGCATGGGAAACACATCAGGAAAATCAGGAGAGTTATGGCAGGCTGATGAAGAGCAATTCTGACAATCCTGCTGGCCTTGGCAAATCATGAAATTGGCAGAGGTTTGTGTGTGTATGTGTGTGCATGTGTGTGTGTTGCTCATTCTTACTGGGCATCCAGGCCCCTAATGCTCTGCCACTGCCCATATGGTACCTTGCTCTGAGGAAAGTCTAGTGACTGGGCTTGAGTGACTAATGAGTGGCCAGAGTGTTTCCCTTCCTTAGAAATTGTGGTTTACGTGGGACCAAATATTAGGCAAGAGGGATATGGTGCCTTAGACAAGGGAAAGAGGGGAGGAGGCTATGAGAAGTATGTATTTTTTATTGTTGGTGGGAGTGGATGGAGAGAGAGCAGTGGTCATTCTCTCTGCTTCTGAAACCCTTCATGCAGAAGCCTATTTTCTTTATGTGTAAGAGATACTGCCTCTGGGCAGAAGAAGCACAGGAAAATCTGGTCTATCCACAAAACTAGGGCTCAGAGAATACAGAAGCCAGTACAATTTGGAACTTGTGGATTGTGAGACCAGAGAAATCATGCATGCCTCCTTTCACAGCTCAGACTACAGGTTAGATTCTGATTCTGATTCTGATCAGATGGAAAGCTGGGATTTTAGGCCCAGATGGAGAGTTATTTTTTGACTGTGTTCCCAGATGTGAGCGAGGGGAGAAGGACTGATGATTCTGGGTTGGAGGAAGAGTCTAGAGGAGACCAGAGCCCTACTGCTGGGACTGACTCCCCGTAAAAATGGCGTGGGAGCAGCATCTGATCTCCTCTAGCTTAACAAGGGGAAGAAGAGTCATTATCAGCAATATCAGCCCAAGGCTGATTCCAATGAGACAGAGGTCAGACATGCCAATGTCCTCCAACCTTTTTACCAATTCTGAAGACAACTATCCCTTCCACAGCACTCTCTACTTGTTTGCTGGTTTTGATAATTCATTACAATGGTCACACAGAACTCACAGACCATACTCACAATTATGGGGTTCATTAGGGAAGTAAGAGGATACTACACAGGATCAGGATCAATAGGAACAACTAAGAAAACAATTCTTAATCATGATAGCTTCTTCTTGTCCTCTGCCACTGGACACTGCTTGAAGCCTTCTGCCCTGAGCCCCACTCTGTGTCTTCTCAGGCAAGTGTTACAATTCTTAGTTCCATAGTCATCTTGTACCACTATTGCTCTTGCTACTGCTACGCCATCATCTCTCACTGTCTTTCATGTTACAGCTCTGTCTTCTGGGTCTAGGAACTTCATGGTGCAGAGACCCTAGGTCCAAAGGACATGCTTCACTCCTGTCTCTTCTTCTTGGTAGTAGTCAGGTCCTCCCTCTCGGCTCACTTCTTTCTCCTTTTATTATCTCTTGTAAGATAAAAAATATGACTTCAAGCAAGAGCATGACTTCAATGAGGCAGTGGAAGGGTGGTGACTTGAATAAGGGTAGTAAGGATGATGACTAGGGTTTGGGGGGTGACTTGACTCTTGACACATCCCATCCTAATCCTGCCTCATTAATATAACTGACAAGTCACTCCCAAATGGGACCATAACTACAGACATCACAACACATCACAAAATGGGGGACAATTACATCAGATCACAAAATGAGTTGGGAATCATGGCCTAGCCAAGTTGATACACAATCTCAATCATCACAGGTTCCATACACCTTATTTGCATAGTCCTATGCAGTCATTGTGTAAGAGTCCCAAAGACAATGGCTAGAAGGGCCATATTAAGTAATTCACTGCACCACACTCCCCCAACTCAATTCCTGGGCTTCCATATCCATATCCACCTGAAGATGGCCCCAGAGGAAGACATTCAGTCACTCTTCCAACTTAAGTGCTATGACTGATAGTGAAATATGGTCAGCCTCGGAAGGAAGGTTGGGCAATCCTACTTCCATAGTGATACTGCCTCGGAAACCCAAGGAGGGGTCGCTATGAGTCGGGGCCGACTCGACGGCACATAACAACAACAATAACAACTGGGAGTTCTCAGCCCTCAATACTGGGTGATCTTGGGCTATAGGACATGGAAGTAAGGAAGAGAGAGTATTCCACTATGAGCAGGATGGAATGGATTGAGGCAGCATAGAATGTAAAATCAGCACCAAACTACCTCATTTTTCATGTGGGGAAGCTGAGGCTTGAAGAGGTAACTAACAGTGAACCAATGTGTTGGTCACCAGGGCAAGACTCTGGGGAAGGATCTTTGGTACTTTCTTCCATTTTCCTTTTTGTTAAGTAACCAAATATCTACTCCATTTTTTTTTCCCTTCCTTACCGAGGCCACCATGTTTAGGTCTTCGTTTCTTGATCATTCAGTTTTTACAACACCCTCTGATCAGGTCTTGATCCCTCCCATTTCTTTTCCCTCAGATACATTCTACTCATATATTCAAGCACAACTATGACTAAAGCACTGCACTTCATAAGTGCCTTGAGTGTTGCTGCATTGCCTACTGAGTGAAGCCCACATTCTGCCCTTCTGACCCTATTCCTAAATATACCTTCTTCTGTAGCCAGGCAATGTACTTCCTTGATTTCAACACCTTTGTTCCTGCTCATTCTTCAAACTATTTGTTTAAACCTTATGTAAATTCTACTATGTGCCGGGACCTGGGGATATATCAAGGAGCAAGACAGACAACTTTCTTAACCTTAAGCACAAGTCCCTTGTGGACTTTTTTTTTTTGTACATGTACATGGTTTATTATAAATGTCACTGATATGAAGGATGTATGGCACACAGTTTACAATAGTAACACAAAATACAATATATTTTTAAAAAATGAATTTCATTTAGCAATGTATTTTCACAGAATACTGTCATCAATTTTTGTCAGACTTTTGTCTCCCTACACAATGTATGGTTGAAATTGTCCTGGAGAAACAAATCTATGTGAAAATGTGAATGCCAGTTGATACTTTGGTTTATATTAGTCAGTATAACAAAAGTGAAACAATGACTTTTGTAGACTTTTACGTTTTCTTTTAAGACCAGTGGAAGAAGGTCATTGAAGACTTTTAATCAGGAGAGTAACATTAACTGATTTTAATTTTTAGAAAAGAACTCTAGCTTTTCTGCAGAAAATGGTTTATAGGGGGAACTAGAGAAACAAGAAAACAATTTAGGAGATGGATGTACCAGTATGAGACAAAGCTGATGATGAATCAGTGGTGGTCATGTAGATGGAGAGAAGTTGATGGATTCAGGTTCTAAGTTGAAAGTAAAATCAACTGAATTTGTGGGTGTGAAGTGCGATAAGGCTGGGAAATGGAGAGAAAAAAAGATGGCTCTTGTTCTGGTTACCTAGCGCCGCTCTGACGAGAAATATACCACAAATGGGATGGCCTTAACAAACAGGAGTTTATTCTCCCAATTTGGGAGCTCTGGTAGCATAGTGGCTAAGACACTTGACTGCTAACCAGAGGGCTGGCGGTTCAAACCCACCAGCCACTCCTCGGAAGGAAGATAGGGCAATCTACTTCCGTAGTGATACTGCTTCGGAAACCCAAGAAGGGGTCGCGATGAGTCGGGTTCGACTTGATGGCACATAACAACAACACAACAACAACATTCTTACAATTTGGAGGCTTTAAGTTCAAGTTCAAAGTGCCAAGCTCTAGGGGTTGGGTGAAAGCCCCTCAACCTTTGGGTCTAGCTCTGCCTCCTGCTGCCGGTCCACTGGAGCTAGAGGCATTTCTTCACTCAGACAGCTGCTGGCTGCTGAGGCTGAGAAGCCCCAAGGTTGGCAAGTAAAGAGGCACAGTCCTGATGTTACCAAACCACACAGCAGGCCATTAACTTAAGTCCATTGTAAGTCCCAAGGTCAGCAGAGCATAGCAGGCTGCTGAGCAATGACATGGCTATTTGCAGGGTCCAAATATGCCCATAGGCTAGAGACCATTCCCAAGGCTTCTCCTTATATACAGGAAGCAGACTACATCCTAAAGGCAGCTACTCAGCTGCTTGTGGTAGATCCCCCCATGGAGTTGATTGCCAGTCTCATCATGGGGAATAACTATCACCACCTGCCCAGCCACTCAACTAGACCCAGCCAAGTTGACACACAAACATAACTACCACAGCTCTTAAGTTTTTGGCATGAATAACTAGCTAGATAGTGAAGATGTACCACTGAACCATTATTCTGTACCATTGAATCGATACTGTCTGGGAGAGAAATAGAATGTACCTAGTTAATTTGGCAGGAGCTCTGGTAGCATAGTGCCTAAGGCATTTGACTGCTAACCAGAAGGGTGGTGGTTCAAACCCACTAGCCGTTCCTTGGAAGGAAGATGGAGCAATCTACTTCCATAGTGATACTGCCTCGGAAACCCAAGGAGTGGTTGCTATGAGTTGGGTCTGACTTGAAGGCACATAACAACAACAGTTAATTTGGCAACATAGAAGTCATTGGTGATTTTGACAATAAAATTTTAGTGGGCTAGTGAGGGCATAGTCCTAATTAGAGAGTGCCAAGTAGTGAATGGAAGGAAAGGAAATGAGGACAGATGATGTAGAAAAAAATAACAAATTTGGTTGTGAAAAGGAGCAGAAAAATAGTGCAGTAGCTGGGAGGTCCAGGGAGAGTTTTTCTCTAATGAAAGGTACTGAAATATATTTATGTTGACAAGAAAGAGCCAACATAGAAGGAGACACTGATGATGCAGAAGAGAAATGGAATAACTAAAACAGAGAAATCCTTAAGAGGTTAAGAGATAATGAGATCCAGGGTGCACATATACAGGTTGACCATAGGTAGGAGGTGAGATACTTTCTCCAGTGAAAAGATGGGAAGGAGATCATGAGTACAGATGCAAGTAGA